ATGACCAGCCGTCACCCCTCCTTGGGAATTGTAGCGAATTTATATTTATCTAAAATTAAATATTTTATAACTAGTAGACAAACCAGTAATACAGATACGAAACTTAATAAAATGCACACATTTAAATCATTTCAAAAAGGAAACTGTTGTCCTGAGCGTCGTATTCTCACTAAATGTATTTCAAAACAATAATTCAACAAGAAGCCAGCCACTCCACGGTCGTAACTTGGCCTTCTTTCAGAACTTTGGAGATTCGAAGCCGATACATCCGTACTTATTCCAATCCCTTACTAAGTTCCGCAGTTTTAAGCGATTGAACTTATGAGGTTGTTGTTTATGTGCAGGTTTTTATTCTTTTTGATAGCGGCTTATATTCTTTTGATAGCAGCATATATTCCCAAGCGTGCCCCTCACGAGATCGTTTTCTATTTTCTGTCATAGTTTTAAACATATAATTCCCATTGCTTCAAAAATAAGCGTTCTAATATCTACGTCTAAGTATTTTGCTCGTAGTTCGTGCAAATTACCTCAGAATAATTCAGTATCGTATCTGCTTTATTACGTCGATTATGTATAAATACTATAACAAATTGTGAAATTAATGTTGAAAAAAAAATTACATAATACATGTTCGAAACGTCTACGACCTACGTCTTCACGGGTTAATATAATCTGTTTCCTTTGCTTTATAATAAAATCAATCCATCAGTCTATTATTTCTTCTGTATTCCATTTTCTCCCTTTTCCTTGTCATTAATTTTAGAAGCGTCCTTTTTTCACCTATACTGTAAAAACCTAAAACTATTTATAAGTACTAAATACAAAAACATACAAACTATTTTATAAATTTGTTCTCTTATCGATCACTAAATATTGAAAAAAAAAGACCGTAATTGATTACAAACTCATATGAGCACACATAAGTGAAGGCGTGTCCCAACTATTTTTCTCTTCCATACTGAGCATCAAACGGTTAAGGCTCTATAGAAGTTGCACCTGTCATTCATCATCTGCCGTAAATAAAGAAACTATATAGCGATAACTATACTGTTCAATGTAAAGATGGATTCATTTTTTAAATAATGATAGTTTATTTTGATAGCAGCTGAAACGTTACAAATCTTACACAAAATGTAATGCTACGTTCACGCGATTACTACACATTACATAAAAAATATTGTACGGATTTCAGTGTTTTAACTTTTGTTTCGATTTTGTATTAAATGAAAGAGTCACTGAAAGATAATGTAATAAATTTTTTTTTTGATTATTTGAATCTCATTCTCAATAATATTACTAATGTTATAAAGTTTATAAAACAGTATTAAAATGCAGTTTCTAAATATAACCAGTTGATCATAAAGAAAATTTATTACGTTGTCTTTCTGGTATAGCACTTAGACTATATTACTTTGTAGTGGATACAATATTAAATGAGCGGGATCCTGTTACGAGGTAGGTAATTATAATATTTCTTTGGTACACGTCATATGGTTCGCTGCATTTCTAAGTTTCTTTATTCAATTTCCTCTTGTTTTAACCTGTTGTAAATCTTAAACAGTTCAACACTACTTTAATTTTAATTTTTTTTTAATGTTCGAAGGTGGCAAGCGAGCTAAGTTGATATAAATGTCCAGTATTAGCTTAGTGATATTTGATGACTCCGTGGCGTAGTTGCCAAGGTATTGGCTTCGGCGTCGGGGGTCGTGGGTTCGATTCCCACACGAGACAACTATTTGTGTGACCCACAGATAATTGTTTCGCATCTAGGTGTTTGTCCGCGTGAAATTTATGTTTGTGAAATTCCCTTACAACACAGGATACTGTTGTCCTAAAGTAAGGGTAATGCTTTTAAAAAAAAAGAAAAGAAAAAGTGATAAGGGCGTGTGACATAAAAGGTGCAGGTTCAAATCTTAGCGGAGGTACCTAAAATTTTTCGACAATTTGTTTACACATTTTAAAAATATAACGGCATTTACTACGTTATAATCGGGATGGCTTTTGTTGCTTTCATTCTTTCTTTTCTTTTGTTTATAAAAAACATTGCCCTTACTTTAGGATAACATTATTCTGACGTTTTACATACATGAATTTCACGTGGATAAACACCCAGATGCGAAACAACTATCTGTGGGTCGCACAAATTGTCCCGTGTGGGAATCGAACCCACGACCCCCGACACCGAAGCTAATGCCTTGGCGACAGCGCCACGGAGTCATCTAAATTCAATACAAATCATCGTATCCATTTATTATCCATTGTTTCTTTCAAAAATATTAAATCGCTTATCCGTGGTTGGGCCACGCAATAGTCTCATATGTTGCACCAATGTGTGGGTCTGTCCGGGTAAGTACCACGACCTCAAAGAACACCAGCGTGAAGTGGACGTGAAATACTTCTGCGTTTCGCCTGGTGAGTGAGGTAGCCGAGGCCGGCTCTATTAAAAGGTAGCCACGCATCTACAACCCCTCGTGTGCTGCAAATGTCGATTGCCACCTTCTCGGATAAAAAAAAATATAAGTGGTATAAGAGTTCTAACATTTTTACTTTGATTCTTATATATATTAACTATTTCTGAACTTGAATATTTACAACTATTATAACGACAAGCAGCACTAGTGGTTATATAACCGTCCGGGAATGCATCCGAAAAGCAAGTGACCGCTGCTACTCCATGCGAACATGAACATGTGCCTCTTCGCTAGAGTAGATAACGTCATATCCGGTTTAGTGTTGCCAGCGACAACATTTGTTTACTGCGTTGGTGTGTGCAATAAAGAATATTCATTCATTCATTGTATTGGTTATTTCAGACCTTGTTCAGTGTCAGACTGTCTTGAGATTTCTGGATGCAGGTGGCAGTCTGTTCGAGTGGCTACAAGCAGGGTGAAATGATGATTAAAATAAATTTTAGATTTATTAAAAGTTTCAATTTATAACTTATATATACCTTTATACCTTCCTTTTAAATTTGCTCTATTATAGATCGTTTAAATATATTAGTGGGAACATTTGTTTCCTGGTAACTCCATAACGACAGAGTGAGTTATAAATAAATTTACAATAGTGTTACTCTCGAAGATATATTATCTTTATTATAGCGTTATTATTATTAAATTTACAATAAAAATGCTTAATAAATGATTGTATCACAATCGTGAAACCGCTAATGATATTTTACGCTGAATTGTTGATTTTTTTTAAACATAAATCCGCCTCTTACTCGTATAATCGAAAATATACAAGCATTATGCACATTAAACGAACGTAAAAGTCGAAAGAATTTCAAAAGAAAGTGTCTTAAAACCACAATTTTTTAACATGATAACGCCGTTTAGCGTAATGCGGTTTACCTTCGCTTTAATAACGCTTAAACGTCGAAACTGCTTTCTAAATTACACATACAAAGTTGCTATAGCAGGTATGCGGTAGATTTATTTGTAGCATTCATTTCGCACTACCAGTTTCCAGAAATGAACATTTGTGGGGAAATGGTTGGGCATAAGTCCAGCCGACCACGGCGACGTATCTATATTTTATCTTCCGTTCGAAGCTACATAGCCTCCTAAAAACCAACAACCCTAATGAAGTTGACGGTCTTTGAGGGTCAAGAGTCTAGGCTACCTGTGTTGCCAACTTGGGCCGTCCCAGTTCCCGACTCCTATTATTGACCAGGGCATAGCATTATGTGAAGTGGTGTCTTCTTGTCATTACCGCAAAATCTACATAATTGGCTCTCCGACCCATTCTGCTCAGATGCATGTTTAACCTAGTGTCCAGCCGATCTGCGCCACAGCAGGTTGTCATGATGTCTCTCCTATGCAACAAGCTGACGACTGGAGGCAGATTTAGGCACCCTAAGGATGGGCTCGGGCCCTATAGGTCGGATACTCGAGCTGTCCCTTGCCAGCTCATCCGAAGCTTCGTTACCCCAATGTCTTGGCAGCCAACCCAGCATTACTAAGTTACAAGTACAAGACTATTCAGGACAACAACACACTCCAAGGTAAACTTGCAGGTAATTTCGTTAGACTCCAGCGCCTACAAAGCAGCTTGGCAAATTGAAATATCTTTATTCAATATAGAAGCATTACACTTACTCATTAATTGGCAAAACGCTATCACGGGAAAAATAAAAGCCGCTGTCCTGAGAAGAACCGGTGAAAGAAACTTAGTGGGAAAACTGTACGACACGATAAGTATCCTCTTACCAGTGAACTCCCGGTTCAGATGCACAAAGCCACTGATTGCACACATTTTGGACCGGAACACTGTGCCGAAGACTCTCAGGCTGAATTGAATTAATTGAAATGAAATAAATCGCTGAATCCATCAGATCTGATTAGAAAATTATTTATTAGTTTACTATACATAAAAGTAGCGATATCACAATAAAACTAATTCACAAATGTCACACCTACTGTAGGAATGTTCTAATAAGCAATATGTGTTAAGTTTTAGTTTCATCATCATCATTTCAGCCCATTTAAGTCCACTGTTGAACATAGGCCACCGCCACTGATTGCCATGAAGAACGTTCCTGGGCCACCTCCATCCATCGGTTTGCCGCATATTGACCGTCACTCTATCTAGTAGGGGGTTGTTCTACACTGCGAAGGTAAGAGGTTGCCACTGGAGAACCTTTCTTTCCCAACGCATATCAGTTCTACGAGCTATACGGACGGCCCATCGCCACTTCAGCTTGCTAATCATCTGAGCTATGACGGTTACTTTTATTCTACTGCGGATGTCTTCGTTGCGAACTCGATCACGTAGAGGAATACCGAGCATAGCTTGCTCCATAGCTTGCTGAGTCACTTTGAGCTTCCTCATACGGACAGTACTGAAGGACCACTTCTAATTTTTTAGGTCCCCACTAGCAAAAAACATTGATTGAAGACTTTTGTATTCAAACATTGCCGGATATTAGACGAGAAGATGTGCCGAAGTTTCCCGAAGCCCATCCGAGTCGGATTCGCCAATTATATATAAACACATCAAAGTGAACTTTCGTGTCTAGTCACAAGTCTCTTCCAACAGCGACCTGGAATCAGGACGAAAGGCAATTAGATAAATAACTTAAACCATCAAAAGATCTTATCTAATAATTTGAAATAAAGTAGGAAACAAATAAAATTGGCGTTTATGGTTAATAACCTCATAAAATACATAATTTAATTAAACCTAAAATCAATGCAACTACTAACACACAGAGCCGCTATTGGATTTCGAAAAGGTCCTAGTCATTAACGTACCGAGTTTGCTTTTCTTATCATATTCAGCATATGCAAATAGGGCTTCAAATGTCACTGGTTACTTTGAAAGTTATACAATATACAAATAGGTACGAGGTACAAGTGTTCTGGTGTCCTCCACAGGTGCTGTCGCAATGAGTAGGTAAGGATTTTGCCTGCAATTTTGTTGGTATAGAAATTGCTTGCAAGTTTAATATCTGATATTAAGTTTATTCCCCTAAATACCATTATATGTGCAATATCGTAATTGCTTTTAAACAAATCCTATACCCCAATTTTTCAGTCGACTTACCCTAAGTTAATTTTAATAAACAGAGCACGGTTTCTCATGTCTTTTAAAAATAGTGGTTATTTTGGTCATCATTACCGCGACTCCACCATCTGGCTTACTGGCTCTGAACAACTAAGCTATTGCTGCTAACTGATAATCAGGGACCACATCACCAGCATTCCAGTATTGGGCATAGACCTCTCCTCATACACTGATTTTCAACATTATAATAACATATCTGTTTTTTTTTTAAACATTGCCCTAACATTATCCTGTGTTATAAGGACCTTTTGCAAACATAAATTGCACGAGGACGAACACCCAGATCCGAAACAACTATTCTGTGGGTCGCACAAATAGTTGTCCCGTGTGGGAATCGAACCCACGACCCCCGACGCGGAAGCCAATACATTGGCATCTGCGCCACGGAGTCATCTTATATACAGTCAGAGGATTCAAGACAGATTACTACAATCAGCTATCTTTAAATTGAATTATAAAACAGACAAAATATGGCGTCGTTTAAAGGCGTTGAAGTAAAATTAGGATTTCTTTCAACTCTGTAGTTTAACGCATGTAAAAGCAAAAGTTTACGCTACAGAAAAAATATTGTCCACTCTATTGAATTAAAATATCGTGGAAGTCATCTTCTTAAGAATATTTAATTATTTGTCATGGTTATTTAACACAAAATTAAGGATCTTTTACTGTTTAATTATTTTTCTTCTAATTAATATAAGTTTTTTGGGAACATAGTTCGTTTTGGACGGTTCGTATATAGCAGATGGGGTTAGGGGGCTAGGCCAAGAAAAGTGTAATAATTTTTCCGTCACGAATATACTATGACACCCAATAACAACTTTATTACATGTATCTATATTTCCAAGGTATTGAATTAAACATTCACTAATTACATGTCTATTTTAAAAACATAGATTACTATCTCAGAAAATAAAGTGTTTAGTTATTGGAAATACAATACGTTTATCTATATAGATAAATAAAATTGGAGTGTCTGTTCGTAATATTAAAATAACCGCTTTTTACTAAATACACATGGATGTATACACGGTACTTATAACAAAACATTTTTTTACAATTTTTGTCTGTCTGTTTGTCTATTTGTACCGGCTAATCTCTGAAACGGCTGGACCGATTTTGACGGGACTTTCAGTGGCAGATAGCTGATGTCATAAGGAGTAACTTACTTTTATTTTATAAATTTTATTTATTTTAAATTGCACACGGACGAAGTCGCGGGGCACAGCTAGTTATTAATAATGTACTACGAAAGGAACTTCGTTCCATATGAGTGTACCATGACACTCACTATTTCTCTTTTTAAATCAAATCATCTGCGAATATACTACGAGAGCATAAGGAATTAAATTTTAGTAGCGTTGTACCCATAATATTGTTTTAATTTACAATCAACCGAGTAAGGAATTCTATATGAGACATTTTGATAAAATATCAATACCTTTAATGGGGCGAACAGTTTGCCCGTTTAATATTGAACAATGAAGAAAAACCAAAAACAGTTACAAAGACGAACGCTATGACTTAAACTTCGCGTTGATAGCGATGAGCACGCACGAAGGAGGTTTTAGGTCAGACTATTTCTAGCTTGTAATCAAAGTCTTACTAATGCCGCTGTGCAACAATGTGAACAGCCAGACAATCGAACCTAGGTACCGTGTGTAGGGCAAGCAAAACAATGGAAGCGAGCCGTTTGAGATAGCGCACGTTGCATGTTTGTAGGGTTGGCGAATGTATGAAATTAAATGATTAATAAATGACGAAAATTTTTTTTCGGACATGTTTTTTACACAACGTTCTCTAGTCCCAAACTGAGCAACGCTTGTACTATGGGTACTAGAAAACTGATAAACTTACTTAAACATACTTTTCTTTTGTAAATAAATACATATTATACTTATATAAACACCCAGACACTGGAAAAACACGATGTTCATCACACAATATTTTCCAGTAGTGGGGATCAAACCCACACCCTCTGGCGCAGGAGGCAGGGTCACTACTCCCCACGCCAATCGGGTCGTAATTTAGTCAATTAATCTAGGCTTAACGCCGCGGCTGGTGACAAGAGAGCTGGTTCTTTCCTCGCTTAAAGGTTTAGCATAACTATTCAGCGAGGGAGTGCAGTTAGCGTTATTGCCACCATACCGCGTGGAGGATACGCCCGGCTTCTGAAACACTGATCATCGTAGAAGTGAACTAATCAGCTGTCAAAAGGCTTTTCAAATGTTATATGAGTTGCCAAAAGTATTGTTAAATTCTCTGAATTGATCAGGACGATCTTAATGATCAGAATGTTGGATATATTTTATTAAATGTTTCGAATGAATACTTATACCTTAAGTACAAGTGAGTTTAAACGTTTCGTAATGCCGTATAGAAATGTTTGTCAAATGAAAATTCAAAGAAATAGCAATAGATCCAAGTGGTTCACCTCTTCTTTTATTTCAAAAGATATCGGGCTCTCGGTTACCTTCCACTTTAGATGGTAAACTTTTAATTACCATCTTCTTTAGTTACTTCCTGCCAACTTTCTCAATAGAGTCATACAAATCGTGCTGAATTAAAACTGCTGCTTTGTTCTTCTACAGTCAAGAGCGTTCACTTGTACTTACAAGCACTAAAATTTATCAACGTTTCGCCATAGTTTCTAAATAGTATGGTATTTTTCATTTGCCATAGATTTATGAAATTTAATATAATTTATAATTACGGGAAACGACATGTCCTCCCACCAGTGGAGATGGTAACGGTGGCACCTTCCGTCCAATGGTGGCTGAGCTCGGTTAGAATACTCAGGCTGAGATTAAAGCTTGAATCATGAAACACTATGGACTAAGAATGATAGAGGTTATAAAGCTTATATCTATACAGATTAATAAAATTGGAGCGGCTGTTTGTAATATTCAAATAACCGCTTTTTACTAAATGCATATGGATGTATACACGGTACATACACCAAAATAACATTTGTCAAAATTTTTGTCTGTTTGTCTGTTTGTTCAGGGTTTATTTTTGAAATGGGGACTATCACTGGCAGATTGCTGATGTAATAAGGAGTAACTTAGGCTACTTTTATTTTAGAAATTCCATCTATTTTTATTAATATATATAGTAAAATTCTACGCGGATGAAGTCGCGGGCACAGCTAGTTTGCAATATTATCGATGCAAATATCTCATAAATTCTTGGCATGATAGTTCGGGCAAAAGAAAATAGGTTCGTAATAAAACGGCCAATAAATGATGTATCAGTTGCGAGGCCTTTCAAATTAAAATATCCATACAATAATGCATTGAAAGTCTCGGCGAAACGCTTTATGTAATAAATTTTAATGAGCTCCGAAACTTGTTTTCATATCCGAAGATATGCATTACTTTATATCCAACTATAATCCCGAAAAAGAAATGAATACTTATTTTAATTGCATAATGAAAATAATGTAATAAAAAATAAAATAGAAAATTTGAATGTTATATTTCAATTGCATTGGAAATTCTTTGCTACCTGAAGAGTAAAAATAAACATATTATACAGATATACTGTAAATAAATGCGACAACCCTATAATGTTAAAAAGTGGGTTTAATGTCACCGGTCTATTATATTCGAGCCAAACTGTGCAAGCCGAAGTAACGTTAGGGCTGTGTCAATCATGATAGATTCCTATTATGATTAGAGTTAAACCCACACCAGGTTAATCTTAATATTAGATAAGTGGTAATACGATTGCTATTTATATTCGCTCTGTTCACGATCATGATATAACTTTGAATAGTACAGTTAAGACATTAACCCGTGTAATACGTGAACCCTGTGTTGATCAAACAGTCAATAATAACATTATAAAATAGCAGTGTTCTATTCTTTGTGGTAAAAAGTATGCTTATGTAAACTAAATAAAGACCTTATGAAAATAGAATATCGATAAATTTTATTATAAACTTTAGTTAGTTTTATAAACTTTCTGACAGTATGTTCTAGAATATATCTGTATGTTATAAAGCTGTGATAACTCAGTGTCCGGGCGCTCGCCTACATTATACTCGAGAAACCTGAGTTCGATTCCCGGAGCCGGCATCACAAAAATGGTTAATTTTAGGTGCTGACTTATCACATGCTTAGCGGTGAAGGAATACAAACACAAGAAACCTTTTTACTTTCAAAATAATAACAAACTCGCTGTACAGAAGAGGACATTGCCCAGCAGTGGGACATACTATGGCTGTTACTTTACTAACCGTACACTCCAAATATAGGGTCTTCCTATTTTTTCTCGTTCATTACGGACCGTTGTGATATCACCAATCGGAAAGTCTTACTATATCATGTAACAAACTATATTTCATTCTAATTTTCAATGATTCTTTTCGAATTCAAAAGTGACCATCAATAGAAGAATAAAGAGGTGTATTACTCTTCATTTTCATCAACACTCGTTCGCCTACAATTTTCCGCCGGCTTCGCCCGTCGACAGTTC